TACCGGTCTTTTTTATGGTTTACGGTACAATATTTAAGGCATCCTGTCCTCGCTATTGGATACGGGTGACGGAATGCCTATACAAGAAGATGCATAGTGGGCGCAATTTAGACGCAATATTTGAGGAGCATTAGGAAGGTAATTAATCGGCTGAATACTGCAACAAACGAATATGTGATCAGCTTTGTTACCGATTGTATTTAATATATTCATTATTGGGCTAATATATAGATAGATATTGTAACTTCAATATATAAATATTTCTATACATTACTATACCTACTGTCCATATCTATTAGTTGTCATAATAGCATAGACAACTGCTAGAAAAGACTGGATAAATAAGGGATATAGGTACGTACTTACATAGTCTTTATACTTTTATACTAAAGAACAATAGACATTTAAGTTGCTATAATTTTTTTTCTCAGTGTACTCTAAATAAAACTTTCTGTAGGGGTAATGTAGAGATTCGTACTCTTTTGAATTAATAAAATTTTATAAGTAATCGACAGTTTTATATACCTGAGCAAAAAGAATGTAATTTACTATGTTTGTCGTTGTTGTTTTTGCCAATTATTTCATTCCTTTCAATCATTCGCATTCCTGAATGAAGATACGTTTTAAAAATTTAGGTACTCAAATTTTTTCTGACTGCTTTAATTATAAAAATTTCTTGTACTAAATAAATATAAGTGAATAAATACTATAAAAACAAACACTGCATTTCTGAATTAAAAAAGATATAAAAGTAAATATTATTAATTGCTAATAAATGTGTATTCTCTGTACTTTTACATTCATAGTACCTATGTGACATTCCGTCTCGTTACCTAAAAACATGGTCACCTTATTATGAATACCAGAAAACAGATCGCGTGACAAAATGGTCCAATACTTGGTCGATTCCTATGGGAACCAGCTCTAATGCCGACTGCCCTAAGCCCTCTGATAAACTGCAAGGATATTTTCAAGAACGCACCAATAAGTTGCATATAACCGTCTATTACACTGACCAGTAATCACATACCAATTTTGTTAAGTGGTAAAATAAAAAATTTGAGTTAAAATTTTACGTAAAGGTTAAATAAATCATTTTAAAATATTTAAAGTTTTTAATAAATTCTTACTTAATTTCTTTATTCAATATAATATATAAAAATGACAGGTGGAACAGTTGTTTTTCTAAAATTTTTTAAAAGAGACATTTATTACTTTCTTACTTCCGTATGGATCCCACATACATTTTCACTCGATTGAATAATAATTGATAAATGAAAGCCGTCTACGGGGGATATTTAGTTTTTTTTCTGTAATTATATTGTCGTTGATAGTTAAACAACTTTATTAAATGTAATTATTTATAAACCTGGACAAATAATTATTCCGAAATAAAAATAAGTCTTACTTTATTTGCATATCTTTTATCGTCCATTACACTTCGGTGTAACAGACAACGGTTGTAAGTTGCAATTATGAGTTTTTGGGCTATCATTTACTTGGGACTAGGTTAGCAGTTGTTAATATGCACTTTAGTGCTTTGACTCCGAAATCGTGACTTTCATTGTGTGTGGATTCACGAATTCTTAATTTGTTTGACGTGATGATGCCGACATATCTGCATATGAGGGCGATGAATGCTTTAGTTTATGATTTAAATAAAATTCCATGTCTAACCAGAGAGAATATTGTACCTTTTTTAATTTTATTTCATGGATGCTATGTAGTAATTACTATTTCTGTGGATACTTTGTTACCCATTTCTTCGGTGATATTATCAGTTTTTAAATTATTCAATTATAATATTTTGTTTAAAGGCCATTTTCTATTAATAGAGTATATTTTAAATGTAACCGATTTGGATTCCGTTGCTTATAACTAGACATTTTGGTCGTTTTTGAAAAAAAAATGTTCTGTACATCCTGACCCTTATGTGTCTACAATAGCACCTTACGATAGTATCTATTAAAATTTTTAAACTGTTTATTTGTTGTTTGTTATGAATAGTATAAAAAAACCTTATAAAATCAGGTCTATTGAAAAAACTAATACAATCTTTTTAATTTTTTAGCTGTTCTTGAAATTAGTACTAACCTACAGTGACACATCAACCTTATAATAGCTATTTCTTTTATTCCTTATTCATTATTCCTTACAAGTTAATTTCGATACCTACCAAAAATTAAGTCTACATTATTAAATAATAATATCTTTACAAATAACAGCATTCAAATCACCTTATATTGAAACAAGATCGTTATCAAAATTCGCAACGAACGGCACGAGTTCATTTAAAACCACGCCCATTCATAACCAAATTAAGTATCGGAAATAAACCTCTAGCTTTCCATTATTATTTAAGTAATGACTAATAGGTATAAAGACCATGAACACTATCTATAAGCCATCGTATAATGACAGAGTTTAAGTATCCGAATATTGCCAATAAGATAGATATTGTATCGGACATCTGAGTCTGACTCATGTAGGTAATAATATGTTAGCTAACTCCATCACTATTTATTGTATTCGATGAATTTTATAATTCGAACCTTCGAACGGATTCGCGAAATCGTCTAACTAATAATTTGGTGGTGAAACTCAATTTAACTATTAGGGTACGAATTAAGAAAGAAATATAGAAGGCATCGGCTTAGATATGGGAAAACTGGACAGATGTATTTTATTTTTAATAGATAGATAGATACTCTTTATTGTTTCCTCCAAAAGCTTACAATAGTAAACTTATTATAAATATAAATAATTACAAGAAATAATCACAATGAGAAAACAATGGCCGACCACAATAACATTAGATAACAATAGAATGGTACTCTCGCGTGCATTTTCGGTATATGCGGGCGAAGTACCAATGAGGGGTGGTAGGTGAGACTGAAAGTCTTTTGGTCCATCATGATGAAATCACCAGAAATTAATTCTTATGGATAATATTGCTACCAATTGGGTAACTAGTTCCCAATACAAACCTACTTCCCCCATTTAACATAATTATGTTGTCTGTATGACAATATTTATGCTACTAAATTTATTTATTTATTTATTTAACACTTTATTGCACTAATATTACAGGACTTTTTTTTTAATGGATTATAATGGAATGGTAACCCCACCCGCACTATCGGTATACACCGGCGGGGCACCAGTGAAGAATGATAGGTGAGGATGAAGCAGGTCAGTTAGCCCATCGTGACGAATTCAACAAGAATTGTTCACGATGGTTTCCAGGGGGAACCACGTGGAGGTCGACCTAATAAGGCATATTGCTAGCAATGGGACTGTCAAACTCCATTGCTAACAATCCCTTTTCCCCCAATATTACAGGACTTGTTAAAGAATTTTCAATAAATATAGAGAAGTACAAAAGGCGGTCTTATTGCTAAGCAATATCTTCTAGACAACCTTTGGGTAGAAAGAATTAAAGAATAAATAGGTAGGTGGTGCGTTAAAAATTGATCTAAACATGTGTAAATAAGAGCAATCATATCAGTACATTACGTATAAATTACGTATAAATTATTCAGGGCTCGCCTGTTTTAATTTGATGTGTTCTGAAACTATTGAGAATCAGAACATCTTAGTTATGAGTATTACAATGTACTAGTACCTTATACCAGGGGGACATGATGACGAAAAAAAAATGGCCGCGCGGAAAAAATTTTAATAGATGGCGATACTAGTCGCGATTTACTATTAATGCTTCCGTAAGTCTTAGAAAACAAACAAAATCCTTTATAAAATATATATATTCTTATTTCAAAAAATCTCCTAATTACGTAAAATAAAAAAAAATGGATTTTAAACCAAATATCATTAGTTTTATTAAAATAAAAAAAAATATATATTTTTACCAGGAAAATACTAGTATAGTATTATATTATCTGTGCCTATACTATATTGTCTATGGTACTGCCTATCCATGTGTATCAACAAAGACTGTTTTTTTATAACACGGAAGCAAACGAACATGTGGCTCACCTGATGGTGATAGAGTATCGCATGATCACCTGCAACACCAGAAACATCGCAGGTGTGCTGCCGGCTTTTTAAAAAAGAATATGCGCTTTTCATGAAGGTTATGATGTCGTATCATTTCGGAAATAATGCTGCTATCGATAGAGTCGTTATGCGTAAAAAAAGTGCCTTAAAAATGAACGGTAGAGGACCGCCATTCATCCAGATTGTTTTTGTTTTTTAATGGCTGAAAATTAAATAATGATCTGGCTGCATATTGCTGCTGCTAATTTAAACGCAGTATGGATACCTACTGTGAGTGCGGAGTGTAGGGTGGATCTAGATTATTATAGTGACAGTGTCCACACAGATGCTTTTAGTGACTACTATTGCCATCTACCGTTGAGTAGACTAAATAATTTCCGAAACCATATACTCTCTGCTTCAAGACGACACTGCTTCGTTGTAATAATACCCGTATTTTTGTTATCGACTTAATTCAGTTTTCATACTTTTTAGTAGAATATTATTAAACAATAATTGTTATCTAATCAAATTAATATATTCTTCATAATAAAAATTATTGACATGTTATTAATGAAATATATATTTTCGCCATCTGTGGCTTAGTACCACATTAACCCTTAAAAGCCTGTTTTTTTTTTTTAAATCAAATTAAAAAATATAAGTGTACCCTTTACTGTGTTTATTAATGGGGAAAAATTGAAAAAAAATCAAAACGATATTTTTATATATTTATTTTGAAAAACACATTTGGTATCGTTTTTGATATTTTAGGCATTACTGTAATCAAAATATTTAAATTTATTTAGCAATGAAACAATGTAAACCCCGGTATCAAATTTGAAATTTCAGGTATTTAAGGGTTAAAAATAAAAGTACTTCAAACCGTTAATATAAAACCTACACTGTTGAAGATACATACTTACAAAAGATGAGGCAGAATGGCCTATGGTCGTAGCCTGTCCGAAAGGACAAATCAATAAAAAAAAAAGAAACGTCAAACTCAAAGTTGTCAAATCACAAAATCTGATTTTCGCTTGTCATCCAAGATTCCACAAACAAAACTTTTAAAAATTTGTTATATCCATTAAAATAATAATGGCTCTACTAGATCTCTGTCGTCTCGATGAAAAAATCAATTTAAAACCGGTGGACACTCTTGCATCATTCCAAAACGATGTACTTGGATACAGCCAAAATTTTATCAATAGCGCCCAACTCGCCGTGCCTCCTTTTGCTAACGTAAGTTTAGGTTACCAAAAGCTTTTTTGTTTATAATATCCCAATATTTATTATTTTTATTATTAATAATAATTATCTATTTTTTGTAGCCAGTGGAAACGCTAGCCAAATTTAACTCAAAAGACGAGACTGGTCGTGATATTAAAATTGAATTTGATCATGGCACCACTACACTTGGATTTCGCTATAAAGTAAGTAAAAGTCTTTAACTACAATTGAAACTGAATTTTAAAACAAAAAAAAATTAATAGATATACAACTTAAAAATATCTATCGAGTTTTTTTCAAGAGAACTGCATGGGGTTCTTCAAAAAATGGCTAAGGAGATTTTTTGAGATAATGCCCCTGATATTGCAGACGTTTATAAGCTATGGTAACTGGTTACCATCAAGTGGGCACTATACTTGTTTGCCACCTCAGTGGTATAAAAAAATAAATGCATAATTTTTAACAATTCATCAATTTTACCAAGTGTTTTAATACCTATAGGTAATTCAATGCATATTTTTTGTAGGGAGGAGTATTATTGGCAGTAGACTCTCGTGCTACTGGTGGTCAGTTCATTGGATCACAGTCCATGAAGAAAATTGTTGAGATCAATGACTATTTACTTGGTATGTAAAACATTTCACATCCTTAGGGGTAATTTCTTATATGACCACTCATTTTAGTTCTCTCAGTTCAGTCACTCAGTTTAGAGAGTTCTAACAAAATGTAGCTAGGTCAATGACTATCTCATACTTATTTTATTTCTATTATCATTGAAATAAGCAAATAAAACAAAATTTATGAAGATATCTGTGTACATATACCTGTCTGGATTGAAATTTATTAATTCAATTTTAATTCTTATTGCTAAATTTAAGTTCTTTAATCCTCGTAACTGTCTTATTATACTTTTATAAATTGTCTGTATGTATTATACTAATGTTTTTATCCAAATTGTGTAGAAATAAAGCATTACTCTCATCTATAACTCTTTACTAAAATTAGAATTTGCTTTGTAAAGATTAAGAAATAGTTTAAATAAAAATAAATGTTTTTTTAAGCTCCTTATATTTAGTAAAAAATAAAAAATAACTAACACCTGAACACATTGTTGATATCAAATGTATTATTAATTTTCTTGTTATTACAACTAGCTATTACAAAGTGTTTAATATTTATTTTTTGCTTTTTTTTCAATCTAGGTACATTGGCTGGTGGTGCAGCTGACTGTGTTTACTGGGACCGTGTGCTCGCCAAGCAGTGTCGTTTATATGAACTGAGGAACAGGGAACGCATCTCGGTGGCTGCTGCCAGCAAGCTGATGGCAAACATGGTGTACAACTACAAGGGAATGGGGCTCAGCATGGGCATGATGCTAGCTGGATTTGATAAAAGGGTCTGTTATGTTTATAAAACCTTTATATATTTAAACCTGAGTAACTTAATCTAGTTACACTTAGTTAATATTGAAGATAATTGAATTACAAAATCCATAAAAAATTTTTGGACTCATAATTTCCACTTTGGTTCCTCACAATTATAATCAATATTTTTAATGGACTTCAAAGAAATTGAAGAAAAAGGATGTTTTCGATTTGACTGCATTTTATCTATATCAGTATTTTTGTTAATAATAAGGACCCTTCTTGTTTTAAGGACCTCTTGTAATTATTATTACTTTTAAATAAATAGGTTACATGTTATTTACTATATTCTTTTCAAGCTTTTCTAAGTTATGTTTACTTTGTCCAGGGTGCACAACTGTACTATGTGGACAGCGAAGGCACCCGTACACCAGGCAAAGTGTTCTCAGTGGGCTCAGGGTCAGTGTATGCCTTTGGTGTGCTCGACTCTGGTTACAAATGGGACTTAACAGACCTTGAAGCTCAAGGTAAGACACCGATTTTGTCAGTCAATAATATTTACCCTTTATAGTTACAGTTAACAAAATAATTTGCTCATGATACATATTTAGGGAATTAATTATAATCGTCTAAGAGAAAATAGAAAAATTTATACCATTCTCTTATTGCAGTATTCAAGCAGAGTTTTTTAGATATATGTCAAAACATGGCTGAGAATACATAATATGCCTCTTTGAAGTGGCTAAATCCCGCTGGAAAATAATATTCACTACTCCAATGGGATCCCCTATTAAAATTATTATATGATTTCAGAACTCGGCCGTCGAGCAATCTACCACGCGACCCATCGCGACGCATACTCGGGCGGTATCATCCGGGTGTACCACATCAGTGACAAGGGATGGGTCAACATCTCCAACGAGGACTGCAGCGACCTCCACTACAAGTACCAGGCAGAGAAGGGGATTACTGAGGAATAGGCGTTAAGGGCTAAATAAAATTATCATTTTTTTCAAAAAGCGCCTTTTTATTTGAAAATAGCCTCATTATAGAATTTGAATGCTGACTACTGTGTGATATCTTACAAGTTTCCTTTTTCTGCCTTGACAGAGTGACTGATGCGATTGAATTCGAAAATAATCAAAATCACATTGAATATGTGTTGTTCATACCAATACAAGTCCAAGCGACATACCGGCACAATTATAGCAGCTCGCCAATACTACCCTACGAATATTTGATATTTCTATTTGCGCGGTTGAAATGACACTGCTGCGTGATTCCTTAAGAGAAACACTGTTACATATTCTATTACGTTCTTATATTATACTAGATTTGTAAGATTTTCAAATTATCAAAGATAAAACTATAACTGCATCAACTGGAGTTGTTATTTATGTCGCATCTAACAGTGTCAAATAAAAGGTAACAACAATTGATGTATCTACGTGATTTGAATTTTATCTCAATTTATATTTGTCGACAGTTAGCATTATTAACTGGATACGCAATAAACATTCATGATTTTCTCTAAAAGACTAGCATTGGTTTCTTAAAAAAAAAAATAGTTTTCAAATTAGTGAATAAAAACATCCAAAATATGCATGTTCAACCATGTATTTAAAAATACTATGTATTCATATTAGAATACACTATATTAAATACAATAATGTTAATAAATAATAATACAAAACTATATGAAGACTAGTAATTTGTATTAACTAATAAACAATCACAAACAAGCTTAGCGTTAAAGAACAAAAAACCTTAATCTATGTATGTAAATTTCGGTTTAGGACTTTCCATTTTTCTTTTTTTCTTCTATAGTCACCTTGACTTCTTCCAAGGTCTCCTCCAATTCCCAGTCTTTTAGAGGGACTTCTGTTAATTTGTAGAATTTGCCATGTTTCCCTATGCCTGTAAGTAAATATATAATATGTCAATTACTAATTTATATTTTTGTATATAAAATATATTTGGTAACAGATTAGATGTTGCGGTTGCAACCATTTAAAATCAAACAGGTTACAGATTAATTGCTTGTTTCCATCGTTTATGGTATTATAACTTAAATATGCCAGGCAGCAATACAAAAAATAAAAATATGGTTCACGTCCACAATATCGTAATAGCATAGAAAATCTAAACATTTTACTTCTCTTAATTAGAACATAAAACCGTGACCTCGTATGTATATATATATATATATATATATATATATATATATATATATATATATATATATATATATATATATATATTATATATATATGCAGAATAACACAAACTGTGTGTCAGATACTTTATATTAGATTTTATGTATAATTATTTAGGTTATATTTTTCAACTAACAACGACAACAAGACGCGTCTAAAATCGCGAAGTACAACGAGCAAATAAAAAAGAAAAAAATATACAAACCTCCTTGGAATTTCTTAACCCCCTCTTTGATATCTTCAATTGCATTCCCTAATAGGCTGGTGAAGACTGCTTCATCTCTCATACTCTCTTCGCTGTTTGGATTCAATTGGGAATTAACCGCCGCTAGTTTGTCCATTATCAATGCATTTTGTGGGAATTTTACCAAAGATTTTGCTAATTTCACCGATTCACCGAGTGCTGAAAATTTTTAAAAATAAATATGTTCATGACCATTGGTGTCTTGAATGATAATCCCATGAACGGTATACGCTAGCGGAGTACCAGTGAGGGATGATAGATAAAGATGAAAATACATATCAGTTACATCGTGATGAATTCACCTAGAATTAATCATGATGTCGGTAATTAAGAGTAAATAATCAAATGGTTTCCGAGGGAACCGTGAGGATGTAACGCAGTATATTGCTAGCAATGAGGAAGCCAGACCCCATTACTAGCAAGCAATCTCTTCGCCAATAACAATAACTAACGATCCTATTATGCTATCAACTCGACCTTTACGCCTGGCTTTATCCTCTACTATAACCAGTTGCTCCACTATAAAGAATTCATCACGTATTTGCCACAGTGGCTTCCAGAGGATACCGTGTGGAAATTGACCTTTGACTTTAATTGACTTTGGAACAAAGTAGCAAATATTCCATCTCCATATTTTATTCTGTTGTTTATACTTCCACAATGCCAGTTTATTGGTGTCAGTACACCATTTACATAAACTGTCAAGCAATTTTGCGGCAAAGATTAAGACTCAACATACATACTACCCTCAAAAAGTACACAACTACAGTCAAACAAATCATACAATTTACTTATATGTTCAATATTCTATATTTAACGATTCTCAAATAATCAAACCATATGTAATCAAATTAAGACCATCATTAGCATAATAATAGATAATTAGTTTAGATTTTAGTTAATTAACAAATGCTAAACGAATAGGTGCATTTTGACCTTGTACTAAACAATTATGTAATTCTGCTTCTATTTTTAATATTTTTTTATTACCATTTACACTGACTTAAGAAAAAGAAGATCTTAATTTGCAAAACGTTACCAAGATTTTTATATTTGTATAATTATAAAATGTTAATATGTTGATCGTCATAGTATATACAAATTTCATTAACTTTCTTGCAATAAATAAAGTATCTAATGCAGTATATAAATCAAGTCAGTATGGACAGTATTTTTTTTTTAATTAAATTGAATAAAAATGTTTATTATCTCACCTTAGCTTAATTATTAGTTTTCTTTTTAGAATGGATATACAACTATATAATGTCATTAGTTACCCATGTTTCTTTGGAAAAAATGTGCAGTTACACTGATAGAATACTTACTAAAAGGATGCTAGGCTTAATTTAACATGTAATAAGGACCGACCTGTGCCAGTAGTAGTAAGTTTGCATGCTAGTCCTGCTTGATGTGCCTCAGTCCCCGAGATCAGACGTCCAGTCATAAGTAAATCCAATGCACGAGAGAGCCCGATAAGTGAAGTCAAACGCCGAGCCCCAAACAAACCTTGGGGCACACCTGTAAGATACAATGAAGTACATATTAATAATGAACAATTTCATGTAGGTTTAGAGAATCTCTTATACAATTTTAGGAATGATTATTTAAAAAATGCTCTCATAGTGAACTATTGTCTGTATCAATGGAACTTAATTAAAATATAAACAAATTAATAATTTATGTTTACCATAAGACAATCTGCTGTCTAATAATGGTACAAATCAAACAGATAATAATTTATTAATAATTTCATTTAGACAGTGTTCTTTTAATTTTGAAATAATTTGAAAGGCTACCATGTAATGTTTTCCGAAATTACGGGGCCCAAATGAAACAAAAACAATTATAATAAAATTGCGTAATATACCATCTAAAAATGTAAAATTATCATTCCTTTGGACTTTTATGGTAGGATTTATGACATACAAAATACCAAGCTCCACTTACTGTGCTGATTTCAAGAACATGAAATTGAGTCCGAACATTCTGAATTTAACTCCATGGTAGACCCCTTGGATTGGATTGAAAGATTAACTTTCATTAAGTTCAACTAATTGAATATCAAATAATTGAAATAGTATATAAAATAATAATACAATAAAATTCTTATTAATCTAAATTTAAACAGCTTTTATTTAGCCAAAATAATAATTAAAAGATACAACTTGGTTGAGATTGGAAGCAAAACTATTTTAATTGTCATAACTATTATACAGGTACCCACATCAATTGACTTAATCAAATTACCCATTATTTTTATACATAACATATCTCACCCCTATAATCTTGAAGTACAATTAATATCTATAATAGTTACAAATACAGAAATCAGCACATAAGACTAAGATACTCTTTATATTAATCACAACACATGAACGCTACACAGATTCCCTAGGTATACCAATTATATCTGGCCAGGAATCAGGGTCTGGTATTTCAATCTCAGGCGAAGCCTCAGGTACAATATCATCTGGTTGATCCCAGGATGGTCTACGTTGGCGCATAGTATGCTCTTTGCTACCACGTGATAAAATCTGATCTACATGGCGCCTATGTATCTCCCCATCCTCTGTTCTCACCCTATATGTGGTTGGACCTTCAACCTCCACAATGGTAGCCCTGAGCCATTTCCGTCCTGGCTCATAAACCCGAATTAACACTGCTTGATTTATATTAAACGTTCTGTTTCGAGACTGTTGGGCTACAGCTTCAAGTTGCTTCTGGGCATCATCTGGTACACAATTAGGGTGTAAATTGGAAACAGCAGTTCTATATCGACGGCCATTTAGAATTTCCGCTGGTGTTTTATTAGTGCTATTCGGTACTGTGCGTAAATGATACAATACTTTCGATAGCTTTTCAGGCCAAGATATGTTACAATTGGCATATGAAAATTTCTTAAGTTTATTTTTAAATGTTTGTATAGCACGTTCAATATGCCCATTAGTCGCAGGATGATACGGGGGTGAATACTTGTGCTTTATACCATTCTTTTTCAGAAAAGAGTTAAACTCTTCAGAACTAAAAGCCCTGCCATTATCAGATACCAATATATCAGGCAATCCTTGTGCAGCGAAAATCTTCCTTAATACATTAATAATTGTCTCACTGCTCATTGATGGAATAATCTCGGCTTCAAACCACTTGCTATAACTATCCACCAGTACAAAAAATGTTTTACCTTGGAAGGGTCCTGCAAAATCTACATGCACCCGACCCCAAGGTTTCTCCGACGGTATCCAAGCCTGTGGATCTTTTGGTGGATTATTTCTCACTTGTTGACAATGCACACAGTCTGCCACAATTCTCTCAATGTGTAGATCCATATCACGCCACCAAACATATCCTCTAGCATAAGCCTTAGTCTGAACAACGCCAGCATGGGGAGCATGTAATAATTCCAAAACTTTACTCTGCAGTGCTTTGGGTATAATAACTCTGTTGCTCCATAGTAAACATCCTTTACTATGAGAAAGAGCCTCTCTGCGAGACCAAAATGGTTCCACTTCCATATTTGGACTAGAACGGGGCCAGCCATGTAGTATATGAAACATAACTTTCTGTAGAATTGGATCTTTCTTAGTTTCTACTGCAATCCGTGTTACATCAAGGTCCCACCCCTCTGGCTGCTCATCAAGTAAAAGTACTTCTCTTAGACGTTCCTCTTCCCCTGCAGACGTATTAGGCACTGTCCATCGACTAAGGGCGTCTGCATTTCCAATAAGTTTCCCTGGCCTATATTTAATATTATAATTATAACAACCAAGCTTCAGCGACCACCGTAACATTCTTGGTGATATTTGGTCAGGTATAGGTTTTAAAGGGTTAAACAGACCAACAAGCGGCTTATGGTCCGTAATAATATCAAATTTACGTCCTGCCAAATATTCATGAAATTTTGTGATACCAAATATAATTGCCAGGGCTTCCTTGTCAATTTGTCCATAACGCCGCTCATGTGGCTGAAGAGTTCGTGAAGCCATCATAATCGGTCGTTCTGATCCATCATCCATCACATGGACAATCATAGCTCCTAGACCATAATCAGAGGAGTCACAAATTAATAGCAGTGTTCTGTTTAATTCATATCCAACTAATGTCAAATCTGATGATAAAAGATTCTTAGCTTTGTTGAAGGCCACTTGTTCGGCTTCACCCCATATCCAGGGTCGTTTTGCATCTAATAACCTATACAATGGTTCAAGAATCGTCGCTTTGTCAGGCAAGAATTTTTCATAAAAATTATAAAGACCCAAAAATGCCCGTAACGCCACCTTACTCTGAGGTGCTGGTTTCTCTTTAATCTCCTTGACCTTTACTGGAGATGGATGTAGTCCTTCACCATCAATCATATGTCCCAGAAAGGTAATGCTGTCTGATGCAAATACACATTTCTTTACATTAAGACGAAATCCCATTGAATTCAATTTGCTTAAAACTTTGCATAACCTTTCATTATGTTCTTCAATGTTTCTCCCACATACAGCAATGTCATCGAGCAAGCATGCTACTCCTTCCATGTCTACAAGGGCTGCTGACATTAATCGCTGGAAAATTGCTGGTGCCGCACTCACACCAAAGGCCAAACGATTCATCCTCATGAGTCCCATAGGAGTGTTAAGCGTTAACAGTTCAGCTGTCTCCTTATCCACCTTCACCTGTGTATAAGCTTGCTTAAGATCCGATTTACTAAACACACGTCCTCCACTTAACTTTGCAAAAGCTTCAGCTGATGTGGGCAGTGGGTATGTATCTGTATTTATAGCAGCATTAACAGTGGCACGATAATCTCCGCAGATACGGAGTGTGCCATCATCTTTCTTAACAACTCTAATTGGTGTGGCCCATTTTGAATACTTAACTGGTGTCAAAACGCCATCATTAATCATCTGTTTCAAAGAAGCTTCCACTTGTTGTTTAAGTGGAAATGGTACTGGTCGAGCTTTAAAATACTTCGGTGCCATCTCAGGTCGTACATGTAATGAAACTTCTGGACCAATATATTCTCCTAAATCATTCTTAAATAAATCAGGAAATTTGTCTATGAAGGATGCTAACTCTTCATTAGACCAGCACAATCCAGAAACATGTATATCCAGAGGGTTGAACCAATTTCTTCCTAATAAACTTGGTCCCTTGCCTGTTATCACCAACAGCTCACATTGTGCCTCCTTGTTACCTAAACTAGCCCGTACATTAGCCAGTCCCAGCACTTTCAGTGGTTCACGTGTCCATGTCACTAATTTTATGTTGGTAGGATTCAGTGGGGGTGGTGTTACCCATAATTTGTAATAAGTTTCCTCTGAAATAATTGTTCTCGAAGCTCCAGAATCAATTTCCATGGAAAGGCTCACACCATCTATTATCACATCAGCTCTAATTGCTGGAAGGTACTTTTCTGTACAATTATACACCCCCAACATCTCTTCGGGCAAGGACTTACAGCTTCCCTCCCCACATTCTGTAGTCTGATGCACTTTCGCCAATCTCCTCTCACAAGCAGATGCAATATGCCCATAACGTTTACAAAAGTAACATCTTGCTTTCACAAACGGGCAGCGCTCACCAGTTTTATGTAGTCTTGCACAATGTCGACAGTCATTTGACTTTATCCTACCAATTTCCATAGGTTCCGTAACATGGAACGGAGTTTGCTTCTGCAGGATGTTATCAGGGTATAAATCCAAACATGTAGCTTGATAATTGAGACACATTTGTAAAGCACTTTCATAAGTTAGCTTTTCTGTTTTCAATAATTCTCTTTTCAAGCGTATATCACAAACCCCTAACACCAGTCTGTCTCTCAACTGACGTTGCAAGTCCGAAAAGTTGCACTTAACAGCCAATAAACTTATAGCTGCTACAAAGTCCTGCACGCTTTCATTTTGTAATTGATGACGTTTATGAAATTTTTCCGTTTGTAAAATTTCATTAATTTCCGGTTCATAAAATTTGTCTAAAACATGTAGTATATGGGAAAATTCCACTTCAGTTGGTCGATTTGGTACTAATAGAGATACAATTAAGCCATAAGTGTCTTTTCCACACTGAGATAAAAACAATGAACGCGCTTTATCGATGTTCTGTTCACCATAACCCGCGGCATCGAGCGCACATAATAACTGCTCTTTATAATCCCTCCATTTATCTGTTTTTGGATTAAAATGTCCCGGAAGCACTATATTCGTAAGATTTGACGTCATTTTCGCATAATTACATTTATTTTCATCAGTCGCCATTAAAAGATACAACTTGGTTGAGATTGGAAGCAAAACTATTTTAATTGTCATAACTATTATACAGGTACCCACATCAATTGACTTAATCAAATTACCCATTATTTTTATACATAACAATAATGATTTATATATAATATATAATAAATAAAAAGAAAATTGAATAATTCAAATAATACACACACCAAACCTCCTGCCAAGACATCCAAGTACTGCAGTGTCTTCTATGATACGCAGATCACATGCCAGTGCAAGCTCAAAGCCCTCAGCGACCGCATACCCTGACACTGCAGCTATAGTAGGCTTGTCACACAAGGGGCGCCGTAGAAGACGTGACTATAACATAAAATAAAATAGTGGATAAGATATTAGAATAAAAGTTATTGGAACTATAATAAAGAAACTGTTAAATGAGGTTTTTTTTTATTTGAACCTCCTGTCTTATGTCAAGAGTTATATTATTTGTATAAATTTATATATAATATACTTATATGAATGTATACATTGTAATTTTTTTCTTTATAGTATAATACAAATGAAATTTATATTGTTGTAGTTCACACAAAATACAAACACTTATATTTATGTTTGCTTGTATCGGACTGAATGTTTTTTATCTATTTCTTATATAGTACTAATGACAGTACTTTTTCCTGTTTATGTTTCATGGAAAATAATTGTTACTGTAATGGTAAATTGAGTGTTATACTCAATATACCCACATTTCACTGAGTATTTTAAATTGTAATGTGGAAGGAGGCAAGACTACCACTATCATTAAGATTGTATTATACATCAGCCATTAACTGTCCACTGCTGCTGCATTAGTAGCCATGCTTAACAGGTGGGTTGGCAAATACAGGTAGACTTTGGTGATGTTTTAATTGGATGCTGCTGTCTATCTTTCTACCATTAAGTTCCCTTAGTCACCTCTTATGACACCCATGGTAAAGGAAGGGTTGGCCCGTTCTATATCTCAAGCACACAACAAATAATTAAAAAATTCCAATACTTAATTAAGTTTACTTAAAATGATTTTTATTTATTAAATTATTACTACTATCATGCAGTTACTAATAAGCATTACCGCAGCATCCTTTAATGCGTTATATCCCTTATCTCCAATTTCATCAATGTCAAAACCGGAACAGAAGGAGCCACCTTCTCCATTCATCACCAGGACTTTCGACTCTGTGTCTTTATCAAATGCATCTAACGCGACGCCTAACTCTTGAAGTGTTGGTATGTCAAGACTATTACGGAGTTTCTGACGATCAATGTTTAGTGTTGTTATGGCTCCATATTTTTCTATAATTATATCTATAACAGAAGGAAGAAAATTTAGACCCCTTTCCTCGGCCTGCTCTGGATAAATAAAAAAATCCACGATGCATTTTACGAATGCACCGGTTCCTGATATTCTTGACTAAGAGACTTGTCATAATATAAAATAATTTTAAAAAGAAAAACATATGAAATTATTTTAATATAAATTCTACATAGTACATAAGGAACATAAGTTGAAGATATTGTATTAAAAACATAACCTACTTTTTTTTACTTCCTTTACCTCCTCTTCCTTATTCTTAGCATCGTTAGACCTTTTTCTTATAATGCTTGATCTTATCACCGAAATATTTGGTAACAAATTTATACGAGTTATAAGTCTCATTTTAATGAATGAAATTTCAAATTTCCAAATTTAAAATCGTAGTAGTTTCAAACATATACTATGCTCCGTTCGTTATAGCACGATGGGGGTAACATATAGTTAATATCTCTTGAAACAACAATAATATTCGTAACTTATATATTCAACCAAAAATTTAAATTAAAAGTTATATTATGATTATTATATTTATTTTGACATTAATAAATCTCATAAAATGCAATTTATTTTTTAAATACGCACCGTATTATGACATAAAGATTATAATTCAGTATAACTCTTAGAACAAGGAATTACATAGAAGGAATGATAAAATAAAAGCTGTACATTATATAGTTATCTCCTTTCTTCTTAAGTAAATGTAATTAGTAAAAAAGAACAAAAGATAAACTACCAGTTGCTATTTTTGTCTATTCATAGCAGACTAGTGTATGAAAATTTATGATATGTCAATTATTTGAAAATGTCAAATTTTTATTACTAGATTATATATTCCACACAATTTATGTAGAAAGTATGCAAAGAGGTAGTATTTGAATTTGGTAGGGTTATACGGCCGTATAACATTTTCTATACACTTACCAGCTAGAAATTAACAAAAATTCCAACTTTATTAATTATATTTGTATAAGAAGAAAGGAAGAAACCATTTAGGGATTCGAAATTTACAATTTTTATTTTATCATTCTTTATATGTAATTCCTTGTTCTTAGGGTATAACTAGTAGTGTCGTAGAGTAACGTCAAAAACAGTGTTTTAATCTATGACCTCAGTCACAAAGTAAATATATATATCCTTAATGTATGAGATGCAGTGTTCAATTATAATTTGGTACCTACCACAGATCAAGTAATTGTAACGTGTAACCTATCATAGACATTATCTACATTATACTAATGTCATAGACCAAGAAATATAATATTGTACCGAGATCTTAGATATATTTATTTATTTAAACTTTAATGCATAGTAAAATTTTATGTACATTTGACAGACTTATGACAGGCCGTATACGGTTATAGATTTAGAACTACGTACTTGTAACCGAAGTAAAAAAGTATTATTATTTGTTAGAATTTACATGTATGTCTTTTTATACGTTAGCGTTTCAGAAAACTAAGATGATTATGTTTTCGTACCCTATTTATATTTAACTTTTTTTATCTCACTTTCAGGGTCGATTCCTAATTAGTAAGTAAGGACTAAGGTAAAGTACTAACTAAGGACCTTATTGTCAGTATCAAACTCAAATTAATTTTGACGTGTTTTAACTTGAAAACCATCATAGTTATTTGTTCTTCATCTTATTGAAATTGTAATAACAAACCAAGTAACCTGCTTTTATCCTCGTCTACTTATCATAGAAGAGTTTTTATAATTCTTCACTTGCAACAAATGTTTACAATTACTATAACAGCTTTAACATTTCTTTTAGTGTTGTCAGGCGCAAAAAAATTTGTTCCGTAATCATTAATTTCTACTCTTTATAGACAGACTGTTTTGTATTTTTTTTTGTATACTTGGCTCGATGCAACCATAGACGATTCACTTGAAGTCTGTATACATGCATACCTTAGCGTCAATGGAAATATTAAATTGAAAAAAATTAAAGTAGTTTATGAATGTTTTCTTTTTTTTTCTTGTAAAATCTAAATTCTAGACTTAAAAATATCTATTGTGTTCTGTGGACAAATTCTCTTGGTACACGTGTACCTACCAATATTTACTTCTATAAAACAATTTCATCGTCGTCATTGTCCTATTAACGTATCCAAATATAATTTCTAGAACGAAGTGTATATGATTAATGTGATGTGAATCTCATAATCTCATATTGTCGAATTGTTTTTAATTGTTTTCTAAAAAATGTCTGAATTCAGGGACTGGTACAACAGTGTACCATTCTTTACCCGGTATTGGTTAACATTTACAATAATACTGAGTATAATTGGAAGATTTGGTATCATTAGTTATTATTATTTTGTACTGGATTATTACCCATTCATTCATCAATTTCAGGTTAGTAATAAAATCATTGTATACAATTTTATAATCCTTTATTGTTTAATTATTAAAAATCAATTTGATCTATTAATTATATTTAGTATGTTAATTTTTATCTTGCAAAGCATTATTTAGATACGTCTTATAGACTGACTTTTATTTTTAAAACTTCAAAGTTTATTATTTATTTATAAAATTATCAAATAAAATTATCAGATTGTATATTTAATGGTTTGGACATTAATTATGCATATCACAAAGTCATGTAAATATGTATGAACAAATATTTCAATTATCATTATATTCACTCAAATATGAACACATCAACTATTATGTTCTATCAGGGATTAAAGTAGTGAGCATATTTTGTTTTTAATAATAAAAAATATGTATTTTGTGTACAGATATGGAGACCCATAACAGCACTGTTCTTCTATCCCATTGGCCCATCTACAGGATTCCACTTCCTGATAAATTGTTACTTCCTTTATAACTACTCACAAAGACTGGAGACAGGCATGTTTGCAGGAAAGCCTGCAGACTACTTCTACATGTTACTGTTCAATTGGGCTTGTTGTGTTCTCATTGGACTAGTTGTTGGCTTGCCGGTAATATAATTTATTTAGTTATTTATTTAACTACTATATTAAATGCTAAATTCAATTCATTACCATGATGCTACAGTTATGTATCATTAATTTATTCAAATACCAAACTCAAGAAAACTAGATCTCAATAAAAGTAATTTAAAACATATATTATTGCTATTTTGAGTGTTATGTTTAAGGTATCTTTGGAAATATGTATTAAATGTATGCTCATACATTTTGTTTTCTTAACTGAATGTTTAAACAGAAGATGAAGTAAATTTTGAGGTGCTATTTCTCTAAACCTATCTCTAAAATTAAAATATTAATTTGGTATTGCAGCAAAAACTTTATTCTAAAGTTCAGTTTAAAGTTTATAATGACCTATAAAACAGGGATTTAATGAAATTTTTAAAATAAAGTGGTGTTTAGAATAATGGCACCATAGAACTTGTTATGAAATATTATTATAAAGTATACTAGAATAAAAATTATTTAATCTTCTATTGCATTCAATCTACAACTGGATTAGCTTGGCTTATCTATATAATTCAGTTTGTAACTTAAACCATCAAATGGTACATTTATAAGTGCAAAACTTTCAGTTCATTCAGTTTCAAATGAGGATTTGTTGGAAGAATAGGATTATTTGTAATGGAGATTAACAGCCTCATTGCTAAGTCCTCAATATACCCCATCATGTTGACCTTAAGACTGAAATCTTCTCTGAAACCATGGTTTTATCACAATGAGCTACAAATTGATCTGACTTCATCCTCATCTATTATCACTCACTGATACCTTTTTTTAGTTAAACTAATATCACTGGGGAAAAGGGAGATTGTTAGTAATGCAGATTACCAGTCCCATTGTTAGCAATATGCCCAACCAGGTCCACCTCCTTGTGGTCCCCCCTGGCCATTGTGATGAATTCATCTGGAATTAATTTCGGCTAACTGACCTTCTTTTTCATTCTTACTTATCATCTTTCACTGGTACTCTGCCAGTGTATATTTTTTTTTTTTTTTTTTTTTTACAACACAGGGGGCAAACGAGCATGCGGCTCACCTGATGGTAAGTGACTACCGCCGCCCATGATCACCCACAACACCAGCGGCATTGCAGGTGTGCTGCCGGCCTTTTAAAAAGGAATATACTCTTTTCTTGAAGGTTATGTTGTCGTATCGGTTCGGAAATACTGCTGCTGGAAGTTGATTCCAAAGAATGGTTGTGCGTGGAAGAAAGTATATCGGTAGCACACGCGGAATTACTATTCCATTATCATCCATTAAAAAAAAAACAAACTAATAACACTGGCCTGCCTATCATTTAATTTTTTTTTCAACTAAGGATACAGATGATGCTGATAGGTTTAAATCAATATTAATGTAATACTCATACATTTATAGATAAAAATGTGATTTGCAGATACTCATGGATCCTATGGTACTCTCAGTGCTGTATGTGTGGTGCCAACTGAACAAGGATGTCATTGTTTCCTTCTGGTTCGGCACTCGCTTCAAAGCCATGTACCTGCCTTGGGTACTGTTAGCCTTCAACCTTGTTATAAGTGGAGGGTGAGTATAAAGTTGATTGTATTTATTTATTATTATATATTTAAAACCAATAGTATTACTCTTGAAGCTCAAGTCTTGCATCACGTGGTATCCTATGGAAACCACCATGATTCATGCTCTAGTGAAATTTGTTGCAGTGGGTTAACTGACTTGACTTCATCCTCATTGTTCCATCCTACACTAGTGTCATATCATGACATAACATTATCAGAAGTCAGTGCACCATTGCTTCTTCATTGAGAAAATAATAATAATAATATTTCTTTATTTATAGATTACAAAGATCCATTCTTGTTAGTAACAATTGACTTAAACTATGTTAGTAGAAAAAAAAATACAAAATTCATTTTATGGCCCCTATAATAATTTTGACCCACAATGAGAGGATCGGGCTATCGTATTTATTACATAATGCCCTCAGAATGCTGTTACTGCTGCCACGCAATCGGTATAAAAGAGATGTGATCCATTTGCGCCTGATGGCATAGAAATCATCTGCCCATGCCGCTGCAAACATTGTGGATGCACTACAAAAACGTGGCAGTCGCAACAACACCCTGAAAACATTATTGTATTGAACACGCAGAGCGCTGTATGCTTGCTGTGTGTAGTCAACCCTATAGAAAAACCCTATTAGTACATAAAATAACCTGCCTAAGGCTTTTGACACTTGGTTCTCTGTGTCTACCCCACAAGGGACTTGATGTAAAGATAGATATATTTATGTATACCTACTAATTTAAAATTATGTATACTTAGCCAAGGATTTTTGTTTTCACAGTGGTGTGATGGAGCTGCTTGGTATTCTAATCGGGCATCTAGCATTCTTCTTGCTGTTTAAATACCCACAGGAGTTCGGAGGTCCAGCTCTTTTAACACCACCTATATTCCTGTAAGTTCTTCCATAAAAATATTTTGTAAATATAATTATTTTTCCTATAGTCTCTGATGGCTATTTTGCTTCTAGAATACAATGATAGGCAAGCATAGATAATTTACTTACCAGGGATCATAAACACGGTTAAAAAAGTTATTCAATGACCTTTAAATTTATCCAAATTAATTTGCCTCCTATGGTTACAGTGTTTGAATAAATAAAAAAATCCTACACAATAAAAAATTCGGTACATGAGTATTGTGTTGCGCATCTTTTGAAAACAATCTATTAAGTATGTTGATTTATACTTATAATACATATGTACATATAGATGGCACTGCCTAATTATGAGGCGACACTAAACAGTAAGACACTATAGAATAGGTTACTCTAAAATTAAAATTTCAATTTGATATCACTACATTTATAAAAGATTTAGGTCGAAATTGATATAAATTTAGTTTGTGATTCATGATCTATAAAATAGTAATTTTCCGAAACTATAAAATATGAACATAATGTTAAAGTTTAGAGAATGGCTCCTCAGAATCGGCCTTAATGTAACATACATTACATATCCAGAGTTTTTTCTTATTTAATCTGTGGGACACTTATTTTCTGCCACATTCCATTTAAATGTGCTCACAAAATATCAACAAATTAATGTTTACCAAATGGTTTACCATAACAACTATAGTTGGAAATATTTGATTTATTCCTTTCCATTTCAAGTAGCATAAATAGTGTAACAATATGTAGTGTTTTGTGGGAACATCACACTTAATTTTATAAAACTTAATAATATAAAATATAACTTAATTTTATAAAATAGACAGATTTCATTTTTTGCTTGTATTGGACAAACACAAAATGCAAGACTTATTTAAAAAAAAGGTCCAATTATAGAAAGCTACACTATCAGAGAGTAGTAATGGGCTGTAATTTATTTTTCAAAAACTATTCGAAGCCAGGCTGGTTGCTAGTCTGTGTATTACCTTCGTTTTAGTTTCATTCACAATAAAATTCAAGGTATCTATTTTCTTAGATTACTAAACGTCTTAGAATACCCTTAAGTATATAGGCGAGAAAATTTTAAGTTTAGTTTCATTTTCTATTTAGGAAACAAATATTCCCTGACACGAGGTACATGGGAGGGTTCGGCACAGCGCCCCAAGCGAGGGTGCCGACTCGACCGGGCGGCAACGTCTTCGGGGGACACAACTGGGGTCGTGGACAAACGCTCGGAGGAAACTAAACGTGTTACAATGTACATTATATTAATGTATTAAATGAGTATTGGATTTTTGTTGATACGGCAAGAGTGGTGTGGTTTCTGTTGTTCTGTTTTAAATAATTATAATAGTAATAAAAATAACAAAGATTACATTCTTATATATAGTAATAATATAATAAACTAATAATTTTAAAGTACTAAATACTAGAACAACAGAATAACAACCGCTCAGTATGTGTGTGGATAGGTGTTGCATAATATTGTATGGCTATAGAAATATTTCTAAATGTTTATTTCTGACTTCTGTAAATTAAATTTTGCATTCTTTTTTTTTTTTAATGTCATTATACTATCGTTTTTTATAAATATCAAGATGATTATAATTAATATTTTTTTATGATGCCTTCATAAACATAAACATAGTTTATTCAGACCAGAGACATGTTTAACTTTCCAAAGTTTTATTTTTTAAACTGTGTTAGATATTAAGTTTTTTTTTTCTTATTATATAATTATATTTAAATCAACGAATATCGTCGCTCGCTCGCGCTCTGAATAATTTTTAAAATCTGTCGCAAGAAATACTACTTAGACAATGTATGAACCTATCAATAGAAACTCGCTGCCGTATGCGTGTGTTAGAACGAGACGGCCGCTTTAGGCGTCTTTTTTCTGTCTTGTTCTTTTTTTGCGACACTGCAGTAATGATGCACTTTCTTTCCTTCATTTTTTTTTTATTTTGGTAAAAGGCTAGTTTTGCTCATTATGTCATTAGCAAACAGGAAACGAGACTGCATATTGTTATTTTTTTGCGTGCGGCTGGATTATTTACAAAAAAGTAGAAGTAATACTTCATCATAATAAAATATATTCTACTATCTTCTGTAAATAAGTACGACACGAACGTTCGCTTGAATTGAATGATTATTACATTTGGGTTGTTTCTTGCAATAGACTATATTTAAGTGGCTTGTTACTTTTGTGTATTTAACTCCACTAGAAGTAATGTATTTAAAATTTGCTTTTCCTATTAGGATAACTGCAATGTAAGTTTTTTTTTTTTTATTTACCGATATGGCAAGGCTTCGGAACAAACTTCATCCAATTTATTAAGTTTAAAACTAATAATTTCCAAAAAAAGGTTCAATTGCTAAAAAAATTTAAGTCCAGGATTTAGCAGTTAAAATTTAATTGTGCTGATGAAACAAAAAAATGTAAAAACATTTTTGTTTAATCAACAGATTATAATGAAATATACATATGTAAATATAAAAGGAAACTTTCATTAGTAAAAATGTCTTTCTAAATCATTACCTTTTCAAAGTGTAGCTAAACTTGGTATTTCAGGTATATGCTATCTAAAATCTTATTTTATCTATTCTTAGATATCAAATGTACATAGTTATTTATACCTAGAAATCTATGGTATATTTATATAAAAATGTTTTAACAATATAAATAAATCTTTTTTGTTTTTGAATACCTACTTAGATTTTCTATTAGATTTTTTGGAGACCCCTATGGGATCAGGTGTAGATGGGAAAGTCCAACTTATGAAACCATCACCTTAATATAAACAGCGCCATGGGTATAATGGAATGCACTCATAACCACGCCCTTATGAGTTACTTTACCATTTCCTGAACTAGAGAAAGGCGGAGATGATTGTTAGTAATGGTGCAGGTCGACCTCCTTGCGGCCCCTTTCTGGTAAAAACCTCTAGTAAGTTCTAGTGAATTCGCTACGATTCAACTGTACTGACTTCATTTTCACCTATCAGTTTTTACTTGCTGATACTTTGCGAGAGTGTACATATAGCTCAGACGTGGTTACTACTCGTATTTCATTATCCGTTAAAAAAAGAACTTCCGAAAACTAAGTTATTATGACTTTGCACCATGTAATTGTTATATACCATTACATCAACCCTGTCTACTGACCACTTCTGACCTTGCTCTCCTAGACAAGCAGGAAATTAATTTATTGATTAATAGATTTTCGTCAACATACGAATGAAAGAATAGGATGTCGAAACTTTTTGTCTTATTCTCTCAAGCACGCGACAGCGGTAACATATTAATTTATAGATTCGTTAGTTACTTGTCTAGGGTGCTTTATAGTCAGAGAGCGTTTTCGTCGAAGAAAATAAACCAATTATCAAATGTTAGTAGTCACACGCATATTAATAATAGCAAAATCAAACAATACTAAACAACTAACCAGTGATATGGACTTCCGCAAAATAACACCCAGTACAGTACGATAAAATATATACGACCAAATTGGGGATATAGTGAAGAGAGATAAGAGCATCCAAACATGGATATAAACCTTGTTAATAAAAATATTTATTTATTTAAGAAAGATACAGTTGCATAAGGTACAATTTACAATTTTTACAATTTATATTCAACGAGGAAATATCTGCATTACCATCAGTCCCCAAACTAGGCCAGACCTGTATCTTGGGGACTATGAGTGCGATTACTTATTTATTAGTACACTTTATTTACAAAAAAATAAATAAATAAATAAGGAAAACTATGTAAAAAGGTGAGTACGTGTGTGTGCGTGCGTGCTTTATAAAAATATAATAATTACTCAAAATAAAAACAGTGGGTGATTCAAGTATTAATCAGTGAGCTTATTGAAGACTTCAAAGAGAATGCATAAAAAGTATAAATGTTGAGGAAGCAGCGGCGGATGTACACATTTGCCGCCAGTAAGCTATCTAATTTTTGCCGCTACTACTGACCTCTATAATTCAATGCCCTAGGTCACAATCATATTAATTACAATTTTTTCATAATGAAATTGTAACTTCATGATTATAGAAAACATGTCTCAAAACTGCCGCTCTAGGCTTCCAGAGTATATTTTTTGCCTGCTAGTAAATCCACCACTACAGGGAACTATGTTAGAACAAAAGCAGGCAGGGATCTATGATCTCTATCTACCTTATATTTTTCCATTTAGCTTTAAATAAAACACTAAATAAAGTAACATAAATTTACTAATATTATACACTGCTATTTATTATACATTCAATGGTGATGGTCCTTCGGGTCGGGCTTGCCATATTCCTTCTCCCACAAAGCCAGAAATTCCTTCTTTCTTTGCTCACGTTTCTTGAAATATTCAGGGTATTGTGCCTTTTCTAATGGATGCCAGTAATCGAGAACCCAATCGGGAGGTGTGACCACACGCTCATGAGCTACACCACCGACGCTAGTGGCGACTGGAAAGGGAAAATCGCAATTAAGTAGATATTGGTGGTATGTGAGAGATAAGTATGAAAAATATGATTAAATATTGCAGTTTCTGTATAAAAGGTTAAGGCAGCGGGAAAACAATATGATCAGTCATATTATGTAATATATCCATATTATATAGTAGTATATCACTATATTACTCAGTGTTATGGAGGCATAAAAAACCAACAAATTTCAGGAATAACAATAAATGATGTCCATAATTCTTTATGGCAGTCTATGGGAGAGGCTTATGTCTAGCAGTGGATGAATAATGGCTGAAATGATGATAATAATTCTGTTTATATCAAGTGACAATTATGTACTACTTTCTACCAAATGCCCAGTTTGATCATTTACCCATAAAGATTTATTAGGATAATTATTTCTTTTTTTTTGTGGACTAATTTTTTTTTATAAACTAAAACTAAAATAAAAATATATTAGTCTTCATGAATGGCAATTTTTCATTCCCAATAGATTAGATGAAAATTTGATGATTCATGTTGTTACTGTTTTGGAAGTACACATGAACTAGCCTCACGAGTCAATGTAATTCATATGATAATGGTCATTATTGTATATCTTGTATAATTATGGCTTTCAAAACAAGTACTGAAATGGGTTAGTGTTAAGAACATGTTGTAAGTAAGCTTACATTTCTTAGGGATAGGATGCTGCTGCAAGAAAAGTTCCTCTTCTCCCTCCTTCAGTAGTTCTATAGCTTTACGTGTGTCTGTCACCTTGGCATTCTGGTCAAACCGTGCTCGCAAAAGCACAGCATGGTAACGGTATACATGGCTACAATTTGAAGAATTTAACAAATATCAAATAATAGACAAATTTGTTATATAGATTAATATTAGGTATATCTCTAGCTGTATAGAATTTTCTTTCAGTTTATACTCATTACCTCCTTTTCTATGTTACATAGAAAAACAATTTTACTTCAATATATTGAGAATTTATCTTAAACTGAAGTATTATTTAATCTCATTACATTTGGAATAAGTTCAAAATTAGAATGTTTTCGGTTTCTTGCAAAATTTTGTCTGGTTAGTAAAGAAATACTGGCTGTTAATTTTTAATTTTATGGTCTGTGTACTAAATTTAATTCAAATCTGATCAATTATTTAAATATTATTAAATAATAAATATTTACATTTTAGCATTTACTATATTAGTAAAACAGATTTATAATTTACTATATTACTAATAAAACCCTGTTTGAAATGTACAGATATAATTAGTAGTCTAAAATCATTATAAAGATGACACTGATGTGCCTACCAGAAGATTCTAAATAAATAAAGATATTGTGTAATATTATCTGTCTAATACTGAAATAAATATATGGAACATGTTTTACTACTAGTACTGTAATTCAATACAAATTACTTGTAGAAAATTTGTTGTTATCATACAATGTTAATAAGTAATCTATAACATCCATGTTATCAAATAATAAAAAGAATTAATATTATAAATGCATTTAATTAATTATATGCACTATAATTTGGATTGTTTAATTTTAAAATAACAGTACATTAATAAAACTAATGCAAAAGTACCTAAGTATATAAAAACACTGGAAATGAATATAAAACAATAAAAATAAATAACCTGAATGTTACATTCGAAGACTTTAATGATTTTATTATATGTATTTTCCAAAAATACAAATAATGTTGTCATTATCCGTAAGTTTATATAAAAAATTGGTTATGTTTTTCGTAAGCAAAATTACGTAACCCAGAAAACAAAAAAAATGCAAATAAGTAATAAGAATAAATTGTACACCATACCGTCTATCATAAAACGCTTCTAAATTGCGCAAAGCCCTCTTGTAAAGGCTACAAACTTTTTGTGAATGGGTTTTTATTCCCAGAAAAGGAACATTCGCCATTTTTGTTATTCTTTTATATTTTGATGTTCAATTGTGACAGATGTGACAACTTCCATAAGTTCCTTAATTTATGGTTCTGATGGCTTTCGCCAAAGTCACAATAAATGAAAAAAAAAAATATGGTTCCAAAGATGCGTATGAACCACAGACAACAACAAACATTGAAGTGTATATGAGACCATAGATTAAGGATAGTATTTAAATAGAACTGTAATTAAATTTCTGTGAATTATGTGACTAGCATTTTTAATACTATGATTAGTCGTTTATTAATACTCAAAGAATTTTGTTTTTGGTTATTAATGGCTCATATTTCTATCAGTACATAAAACGTATGGTATGAAATTGGCACAAATTCCTAACAATGTCGCCCATGGATTAAGGGTCTATTTTGTTTCTACGACATTTCCAGGTACAAGTTAGTAGGAAAAACTCAAAATTACCTATTCTTCTTTTTTTGAATTTTTAGTTCACGTATTTTTTATGTACTAATGTTCTGTAGTATACGTAGATTGTCTGTTTTACGTATCACTAATGATTTTGATTTCATATTGATCTTACGTTTGTGGCTGTATTTTGTGTATTATGTTTGTGGTGTGTTAGACAAAGACGTCATGTCTAAGTAACGATATGATCTAATTTTAGCTTCGGTTTTGTCGTACAAGTAAATCTGAAATGTAGTTTTTCTTTGTTTCTGTCTCACAAATTATAAACCAACTATTATGACTACTAGAATTTAACAATTTATTTTATTATCTACCTGCAATCTTTAAGTTCTTAATCTTTATATCAATGGATAGCATCAGCAAATTGTTGAATTGTTGAAACAGTTTCTTATTCCATCCATTAATTACGTCTAGTTGATCGGTTAATTAATTGACCGAAATACATTGTAGTCATCTCCATGTGTAATTGGTATGAAATTGAAATAAAAAATAAAAATTTCATGACGATTGGTTGAGTTTCAGTCAAAGTAGCTGAAGGCACAAATGACTATATTATTTTAAAATAAGTGTCTACCTATATACTATTGTACTTCGGATTATATTTATTTTTTTCTGTTTGTTACTATATTATCATAATATAATTATATTCAGATAACTGTACAGCTCATCTAATAATAAATAATTAGCGTAATCTATAAACTTCTGCAACATATGAAATGTCGTCCTTCATGAAACTTATTACTTATATGGTAGTCAAACCTTGGTTTTTTTTATTTCTAGGCCTGAGTACACGCGAGAGGAAATTCCTCTCAAATCGCGATATGTGTAACAATTTAAGTTCTTAGATATATAGAGATCATATATAAAATATAGGTATTGGTTTTTTTAGTTATCATAATTACGTACATACTTATAAATATATATATATATATATATATATATATATATATATATATATATATATATATATATATATATATATATATATATATATATATATATATATATATATATATATATATATTATATATATGCTTAGTAAATTCAATCTAAACCGTTACGTGCGGTATGCACTTTTAAAATCCAAAGACCGGTGGCGGAACTGTATAAATTACATAAAAATTAATAACACCGATTAATTTAATTTATTTAGTTTTTTTCATTGCTAACAATAAACCCTATCAGTTCGACCTCCTCGCAGTTTTCACTATCATCGTGGTTTTTTTTATGGGTGAAAATGGAATGGTAATCCCGTCTGCGATAACGGTATATGCTAGCGTGGCACCAGGGAGGTATGATAGGAGAAAATTAAAAGACTAGGTGGCCCATCTTTATGAATTCAACAGGAGTTAACCACGATGGTTTTCAGGAGGCACCGCGCAGAAGTCGACTTGATAGGATATATTGTTTGGGACTGGACTGGTGGACTACCAGTCCTATTGTTAATAATCTCTTCTCCTTCGTATCTATAGTTATTAATATCTTTAATTTTGCTTTTTGCATAAATGTTTAGGTAGATACCTACATGTACAAATTAGAGTAATTAAATGCATGCAAACCAAATGCATAAGCCTTGAACCGCGAGAGATTACACATCTGGTACAAGGTCGAATTAACTACTCTGTGGTCGATAAATAAAATACATTGCAACAACAACATATCTGACCTCCACTACCACTCATCCAATGCTTGGACTACGATGTAACCTTGTAATGTTGCGAAAACTGTTAAATCACACAGTTACGTGAATGGAGACGTGACATGTAAGTATTGACAAAGCCAAACATATTAATTAGTTGCAGTGGTAGAGAATTGGCAATAATGGGGATCCTAGTGCCTATTAGAGGTTTTGCCAGTAGTTGCCACGTTTGGCAGGCGAATTGGCAACCGCAGTTAGCTTTTGCTGATGTTTTAAGAGGGACGCTACTGCCCATCCCTCGCTCTCTCTTAGTCGCCTCTTACGCCCTGACTTCATTCTTACGGGAGGAGAAGAATTGTTAGAAATGGGGACGTTAATCCCCTTGATAGCAATATACCCTGTGAAGTCGACCTATACGCGGTTCCCCTTGCAAACTATCGTGATTAATGATTGCTTAATTTATCATAATGAGTTAACAAACCTGGTTTCATTCTCACCTATCACCACAATCCCTTCTCTCCCTACAGGCAGGTTAGCAGAGTACCAGTAAAGAATAATAAGTGAAATTGAAGTCTTGGTGGATAATAATGAAGTATAATCACTTACCATCAGGTGGGCCGTATGCTTGTTTGCCACCTCAGTGGTATAAAAAAAAATCCCGCCTGCTCGGGTGAAGAAGGGATTGTTGGTAATCAGGATTATCATCTGTATTGCTAGCAATATACCCTATCAGGTCGAGCTCCACACGGTTTTGCCTGGAAACCATCGTGATTGACTTATTGTTGAATTGGTCACGATGGGTCAACTTACCTGCTCTGGCACTCCGCCAGTATATACCAATAGCGCAGACAAGGTTATTACGACCATTCCATTATCGTCCCATTAATTTTTTTTTTTTTATACAACTTAGAATGGCAAACAAGCTGTAGGCCCACCTGATGGAAAGTGGTAACCGTCGCCTATAGACATGAGCAGTACCATGGACATAACAGAGTATACTGTTTCGTCCATGATACCCCCCATGCGTTGCCATTTCTGAGGACTCAGGTGTTATTCCTCTAAATAAATAAAAGCTAGGAGCTTATTATTATTTATTATAAATTTAAATTTAAACTTATATTATAAATAGGACAGGACAGTTGTTTGCAATGGATGAACTTAGAACTCATTTTACCAGAGAGAGACTTTGTACAAAAGTCGTTTGCATAGGTACCTCTGTCCCATTCGTGTTTCTACCGTGAAGCAGTTGTGTTTGCACTCGTTGATGTCTGTGTTTCGGTTTGAAGGGTGGGATATAACAGTGAATTTACAGGGTACAGAGGAATAACACCTGAGTGCTCAGGAATGGCAACGCATGGGGGGTATTATAAGCGAAACAGTACACTGTTATGTCCATGGTACTGTTTATGTCTATAAGTAATGACTACTACTTTCCATCAGGTATACTGTCAGCTTGTTTGTCATTCTAAGTTGCATAAAAAAACTCAATAAAATCGATTTTGAAAGTCGAGTTCGGTTTATCTCATTCTATTATGTATTAATAACTGGCATACATAGTGTTTCAAGTACATTCAACAGTCGTAATGTATTAATCCGCGAATTATGTAAGCAATACGTAACAATACATAACGTGTTGATGTTTTATTATGTCATTATATTACAAACAAGGTAATTAGAACTTTGGGTTTCGGTTTCGAGCAGTTTCGGTGCAAAGAATTTCGGTTTCGGTAAACATTTTGGCAAATATAACTGTACGAGTATATTTTTTTCAATGGGTGAAAATGGTATGGTAACCCCGCCTGTGCTAACGGGATACGCTGGCGGAGCACCAGTGAAAGGTGATAGATGAGAATGAAAACAGGCCAGTTAGCCCATCATGATGAATTCATCAGGAATTAACCATGATAGTTTCCAGGGGGAACCGCGAGGAGGTCGACCTGGTTGGGTATATTGCTAGTAATGGGATTCTCAGTCTTCATTACTAACAATCACTTCCCCCCCCCCCCCGTGACTGAGGTTTGACTGATTGAAATAAAAGCTATTTTACCGTCGTATTGGCAGTGAACTCATCTTTACACCCTTGAATCAAAATGGTCGCGTACAGTGCGGTTACAGAGAAGCTTCCTTCCGCGATTATTCAAGTTATGGAACAACTCTCCTGTCGAGTTTTCCTGTAGAGATTACAACACAGAGTTCTTCAACAAGGGCATAATAACGTTTATAAATGGTCGGCAACGCGCGCAACACTTTAGCGTAATCTACGGTATTAGTTTACCATCAGACGGATCGTATGCTTGTTTGCCACTCGTAATAGTATAAGAAAATAGTCCATTTACATTTTTCTCAATCCCAACTACTATAGGTAAATAAAATTTTATGATGATTGGTCTAGCCGAGACGTCAAGAGGTAATAAAAAAAAGTCACTTTCACATTTATAATATTAGTAAGAACAACACAGATAAATTACAAAATTGGTATTCAATATTAACTATACTAGATTAAAGTTATTAAGGAAACAATGTATCAGGTAAAACTACGCTTTTATTAGGGTCAAAGAAAGTTAGAAAAACGGACGCTGCGGATGGTCAATCATAACCGGTCGGTTAACCATTGCCAATACTTAGTTCTATCAAGATGAAACGACGATACTATTTAAAAAAAATACAATTTTCATTACAGGCTTTTTAAAATTGGAAGCAAGGTGTTTTATGATGTAGCTAATAAGTGTTGCATTTTGTATGTTTTACATGGAAAGTTTTCTATTAAAATAGCAGAATGTCGAACAAGGTATTGTGACAGCGGTTGCCTACTTTACAATTCCGCGGCAGTGTTATACCGACACTCGGTGCGGTGGGTCCGTAGCCATCGCCGAAATTATAGTTTTAAATTTTTTATGTATTAATTTTTTTTTTAATATTTTAAGTGGCAAGTTTTGTGATAAGAGAATTTTTGAGGTGAAAATTCTAACGGATTGTTTTGATAAATTTATTTTCTAACTGGAATTATTTTCTTTGCTGGAATTTTCTTTATCGGTAATTATATACATTTTTATTTTATTTTAATTTTTATATTAAAGTACATATTTTTTTAATAAAAAAATTATTATTATTTAACACTCTATTACTGATAACAATGGTCGACATATGTATTTTATTTTTAAATCTTTTAGATAAATTATTAAATACCTTCACATATTCAACATGCTTGCGTGTATGTTTTATGTATGTAATCATTAAAATATTACAATAAAATATTACTCTTACCTATTACTTACCAACAACGTGCCCATATTATTAATACATAATTATTTTAATTTACATATCAGTCAGTTTATACTGGGTTTTTATATAGTTTCTATAACTTTTACCGTCTAATTGAAATAATATAAACAAAAAAAAAAATGCTTTTTATAAAAAAATTAAAAATATAAAAACTTTATTTTTATATTTTTAAACATACTAGTCACTTAATTAGTTGCTAATTATTTAAGAATGTGACGATATTAGTTTCATTATATTCATTAGCAAATTCTTGTCAACTTTATTATTAAATCATTTAAAAATCGTTTATTTATGTATCGCTAACGATACGGAAAGGGAAAGTCACTCAGAAGAAAATGACCTTTTAATACGGCCTTGTTCAGGTAACTTGATCGACAAGTAAGAACTTACCAAATTTAATATTAACATTGCTTTAATTTACACATTGTACTTCCTCGTTTTGTAAATATGGTTACAGAGTAATTAATAGTCAGTTAATAAGAGACAAAGGTGAATGATGGAAAGTGATAATTTTTTCTTAAAGACATTTAAACGCTTTTATTTATAAAAACGCCAAATTTCTCATAATACTATTTTTAATGAACTACAAAAGAGGTTGAAAGAGATTCTCATTTCGGTGGTATTTTTTTATTTTTGTTATCTCATAACTTCGCCATCGAAACCGATTTGGAAAAAAAATCTCTCTAAAAGAATATACTTACAGATTCGTCCTATAGAAATTTTATCAAAATCGGTATAGTAATTTTTAAGTAAAAAAATAACTAATTTTGTCACGGTTGAAGTCGATTTTTTTGTAGAATACAATTTACAGCTATTGAACTGTTTTGTCTCTGTATTTTGAGCTAAATTCTTAGTTTGAAAGAAAGTGACTTAGTTTTTTAAAAAAAGAGCGTTAGATTAGGTACACTGTGACACTCATGATAATCCTTACGCGTCAGTATTTCTAAAGACTAAAGTGCCATGCCTTAATATACTGTAATTTCAAAGCCAATCTCACCTTTTTAATTAAATTTTGTTTCGATTACATAATACGAGCTGTGTCACACGACTTCGCACATGTGACTTAAGATACAAACTATCCGTGAACAAAATGTTAATCAAATTCATTAAGTAACTTTTGCGTGAAAGAGCATCAAACATCACTCCATATGTTCTTAAAAACATTTGCGTTTATAATAGTGTGGTAATAGGATTATTATAACACAAATACACTGTTTGTGTATGTTTATTTTATTTGTATTCTATTTCCCTTGTATACCTCTTTTTCTTGCATTATTCCTGAATTAGATTACGCGCTAATTATTATCTCTCTCACTGCACTCAATGGTATGGCAATCCCGCCTGCGCTAACGGGTTACGCTGGCGGAGCACCAGTGAAGGGTAATATATGAGAAATGAAAATAGGCCAGTTAGCCTATCATGATGAATTCATCAGGAATTAACCATGATAGTTTCCAGGGAGAACCGCGTGGAGGTCGACCTGGTTGGGTATATTGCTAGCAATGGGATTCTCAGTCTCCATTACTAACAATCCCTTTCTCCCCCCCACTGCACTGGGGTGGCTGGAAGATATCTTTTTTTAGAGGTCAATCCACCCTTGCTAACAACTTGTTAAGTAATTGCTGTATCTTTTTTCACTTATGTATATATATATATATATATATTTTTATACAACTTAAAATAGCAAACAAGCTGACGGCCCACCTGATGGAAAGTGGTAACCGTCGCCTATAGACATGTACCATGGACATAGTATACTGTTTCGCCCATGATACCCCCCATGCGTTGCCATTTAAGTATATGTTATTCCTTTGTACCCAGTAAATTATATATATATATATATATAAATATATATTCGTTAAGAAAACTAAATGTTTCTCCAAGTACTTGTGGACTTAGGTGATCTAGATGTTCATTGTCTTGTTATAAAATACTGTTATGTAGAAGCATCTAGCTATCTATCTTATCTTTACTAACAAGTATAAATTTAAAAGTACTCGCACCTCAATTAATGTGTTTGCTCGTTTTTAACGGTTTAACGGCGGAACCGATTTTATTCTCACACTGTTTACTCAGGAGCCAAGGTAATTTCTGTTTCCATTAATATCTTAGTTTCTGTGTAAATGGTATGTGTAAATTATAACTTAATCCGCACGATCGGGATATTTTCACCGACTGGGCAAAAAAGTAACTGGACTAAAATGTACTTCTTCAGCCCATATATTATAGTATGTATACACCAAATTTCATAGTGATTGTTTAAACAGTTAAGGGGCTATGAGGGAATTAACAAATAAACAAACCGGCTCACTTTTACATTTATAATATTAGTTGTAGTAAAGGTATTAATGCCCTTTTCCATTAAAGTTCCAGATATATACATGTCGTTTTTTTTTTATGTATATAATTGTTTATCTTTTCTGCTTTTCCATCAACAATTGTCAACTACATAACCTACGAAATAAATTTAGAAAAAAACCTGTTATTGGCCATACTACTTTGTTATAAAATGTTTGTTGATTTTATTTGTAAACCGCTGTTGGTTTTTTTTTTTTAAATAAATAAATGGAATAGTAACTTCGCTTGCGTTATTGGTTCGCGCTAGTAGGATACTAGTTTTTTAACGAGTAAAGATGAAATGGTTATAGTTTCCAGGGAGAACCGCGTGGAGGTCGACCTGATAAGGTATATTGCTAGCAGTGGGGGGTGTTCAATCTCATTACTAACAATCCCATTCCTCCCAGTAGGATACTAGTGAAGGATGACAGGTGAAGATGAAGTTAGGTTAGTTGGCTCCTAGTGACTGAACCAATACTTTTCCAAGACGATTTCTAAGTGAGAGCATGTGGATGTCTATCTGATGAATATATTTCTACTTAACAAGTAGAAATCATATTTTACATATACATATATAATGATATATGTAGCCCGCTCGCCGTGTAGACTCGGCATAGAATGGGCTACCCCTTTCTTTCCCAGGGGTGTCGTAAGAGGCGACTAAGGGAAGTTAATGGTCAAGGGACGGGTAGCAGTGTTCCTCTTTAAATATCATCAAGGGCTAACTGCGGTTGTCAACCCAACTGCCAAGCATGGCAACTACTGGTAAACCTCCCCTCCCCATACCAAAAGATGCCTATGTTCAGCAGTGGATAGTTAACCGCTGATATGATGATGTAATCTGCTGGAGAGGCGGATGATTTCGCATGGTTACAACGTAAGCAGTGTTGAGGTATCAATGTCGTATTTAGGTACCAGATAGAGAACCGGTCGGGAAAATATTTAGATCACTATTATTACTGGAGCAATAAAAAAAATCAACGTTTAATTTAAATATTAATGTTTCTTATTTTCTGCCTTCACTCCGTTATAGGCATGTGAACATAGATTTATTTATTTAAATAACTTTATTGGTCACAAATTAATATGGTACAAAATGCGGGCTTAATGCTACTAGCATTTGATATTATATTAGAGGCCGACAGATTCAAATATGAGTTTTTTTTTAATAACTTTTTGCCTGCTACTTCCTACGTATGGATTTCAGAAGTGGGAAAATTAATAAAATAGGCCAAATCTAGATGGAGTATTAAGATAAAATATAAACCAGATTATAAGTTATATCTTCGGAAAAATAATTGTGTAAACCGCATCCAATTTTTAGTCGCCATTTTTGCGTAATGTTGGAACAAACATACATACAAACTGACAGGCAATCATACAACATTTTTTAAAAATATTTTTTTAGCATCTATTACGTCTTAATAAGAATTAAAACTCTTAATTTTCGTTATTTAATATTATACAGATATCGTCTGGTTAGAATATTATTTTATTAGTAAGGTAACTAATTAAACTGTTTATTTCTTACGTTGTACTAACTGGATTTGACCTAAGCTTTACGATATAATGAATACCAAAGAAACGAAAGCACTAGGCTGTCAGAGTTATTAAAGTGAAAGACGTGTTTACTTTCGACAATACTGTGACTTTGTATGTAGTTTGTGTACGTGTGAAACGTTGAGTACATTTCAATACAAAAAATAATGAGAGCGGCAACGAAGAAGTAGATTGGAGCCGACAAATTCTTAGAACTTTAAGACACAAGCTGTTTGATTTTGCATTGCACAAAAAAGTAGTTGAAAAATACACTTTAACCGTAATATAAAAGACCAATAAATACTCTATCATAAACTATATCTTTTGATGAACATACTATGCAACATATATACAAATCATCATCATCATCAGCAGTACCATGGACTTAATAGAGTATAATACTATTTTATTCATGATACTCCCCATGCGTTGTCAATCCTGAGGACTGAAATGTTATTCCTCTATACCTTGTAAATTCACTACCATATCCCACCCTTCAAACCGAAACATAGCCATGCAAACACAACTGCTTCATGGTAGAAACACGAATGGGACGGAGGTGCCCAAGCAAACGAATTTTGTACAAAGTCTGGTAAATATGCAGAGATATAAGATACTCGATAATTGATAACTTTCTTTTTATTAAATTAAATTGCTATAAAATATCTATGTATGAATAAAATAGCCTTATATTTATTAATAAAAATCAGTTTACTGTAATAATTATTAATTACAAGAAGAATACTTATACATTACGAAAAGCGAGTTGTCGTTTTTTTTTAAATACGTTAAACCGTTGGTGTCAACAAGTTTCTGGAGAATAGTTTATATATATGTTCTTTATTGCACTAAAACATACAGTGATAACAAGAAGT